GAGAGCCGGTGCCGCGGCTTCCAGAGAGCGGACACGGTGGCGATGCCTTTACTCCGGCAGGTGAGGTCGTTGGGGTCGGCGGTCAAGGTCGGTGGCGTCCTGAGTTAATAGTGGGACGTGCTGGCGGGCTCGGGGAAACTCCAGGTGTCCCGGGCGGCACCGTCCACAGCAACTGCGGCGGCGGCCATTGATGGCAGACGCGGGCGGCGGCGATAGTCAGCGAGGTCGGCGGGGGTCGGTGTGGACTGTGGCGGCCCGCAGTGATGATGGGCCGCGCTGGCAAGCATTGGATAGGGTCAGGTGCCTCGGGGCGGAGACGTGCCCGAGACGGCGGCGGCCGTGGGTGGCGTGGTCGGCGATGGCCGGCACTAGCGGCCGAGGGAAGACGTCGGCAAGGTAGGTGGTGCTCGATCTGATCTAGTGGTGGACCGATGCGAGCAGTAGAGGCAGCAGAGGTGCGGCAGCGGCTCGGCGCCGTCGGTGCAATACTCGCGCTCTGGGTGCGCGCTGCGCGCTCCGGACACGCACGCAAGGCGTTTGACAAAATGACCCAGCATCCTAGCTTAGTCGAATGGAGCTGATTTTTGGTAGGGTGGCAGTGCTTGGTCTGGTGGAAGTGATGGACATTATATCTTGGCCATAGGATCCAGTGGCACGTAGAGTTCAGAATGGATGCCAAATTCTGCCATGCCCACAACCTGTTTGATAGAATGCCATGGCCACCTAGTGATCTCTTCTAGATGTTAAAACTGGTATGGTGATGTCTCCTTGGATAATATAAATGATGGTGAACTTGGTTTGGCAAAAAGAGGTACTTGCTAGTGCAAGTTTTGAAGAAATACAGTTCTGGACAGAAACTATAGGAGGGTATTTGGTGGACTTTAAAGAAGGGATTGAGGATACCCTTCTGGACTTAAGGGTTTAATTGCAATAACTATAAGATGGCCAAGTTTCAGAATTTTTGGAGCAAGGAATAATGGGGTTGTAGTTGAAACCTAGAAAATGGACAGAAATAGAAAAGAGGAAGATTCACACAAAAACTCCAAAGGACCAAGTTAGGTTTTTGCATAAATGTGATATATAGGCATCACAAGATCTCCCATATTTTTTTGTGGAATTCTTACTAAATTATTTAAAATAGTTGTAGTACAACAGAAGCATTTAAAGAATTGAAAAAGTTATTATAAGAATTGTTTTGGGGCTAATTTTATTATGAAAATAATTCTTACTGTTATTAAACAAATAATGAAATGTTTTAAGATAACTACCAGAGCCTCAATATTACTTTCAAAAATTTCTATATAGAGGGGAAGAATTTTGAAAGACGGGTATGGAAAAGGCTCTAAACTTATTAAAGAACCTATTATAATTCAAAATTTTATTTCTAGCCAAATTTTATTTAATAAAAAAAATGGTTAAATTTTTGGGGTGTTACAAACTCGTAACACCCCAAAAATATTTATTTGGAGGTTTGAAAACTTTTTCAAATTTTAGATAGGATTTAAAAAAAATCTTGGAGGGTTCTGTTTGAAGGGTGAATTTATTTGGATTATTTATTTTTGGAGGTTTTCAAAACAGTTTTTATTCTAAAGAGTTTTGTTTTGGTTATTTGAACTCAAAGGCAAAAGCCTTTTTCACCTCTTCTAGCACCCTAAACCACTCCAAATAATTTTCTGCCACCTCAAGAATTATCTCTCAAGTCATGCACACCTTCTATGGCCTTATTTAACCCCTTTCCACTCCACAAAAATATTTCTTCAATATATTTTAAATTCCAAAGATGGGATTTGAAATAATCATAGTTTCTTGACATTACAAAGGAACTATACTTTCTAGGACTCTTTTGTCACCACCAAAATTATCCCTGCATATATATGATACCCTAAACCCATTTCTTCAAAAACATTTGGTCTCACAGTTCAAAATTTTCAAATTCTATTCAGTTCAAATTTGGTCCAGAAATCAATTTCTTGCTCTAAATCATTTCCAAACTTCACCAAAATTTTAGGCCTTCTGGAAAACTCCATCTTGAGCAACAACACACCACCACAGCAAGTCCCATGATCATCTAAGATGCCTAGCACCCTCTAGCATTTCATCAAACACCTAACCTACGCACTGTTCATCACTGAAAAGGATTCAGTTAACTGAACCCAGATTCAGTCAGTGGCCGGCGGTGCCCTGCACACTTCATCTTGCTCTCCCGCACGGTGTCGTCGCCGGTCATCAATGCTCTGGCCTCCCTGGCCCAGCGCCCAGCCTCTCCACACCGGTGAGCTGGCAGCTGGCCGGTGCGGCAGCTGCCGAGCTCATCCACGGCGGAGCCGATCGGGTCGCAACGGCCACCGGCCCTCTTCACTGCGCCGCACTCCCCCTACCTAACTCCCCTCCCACGCGTCCCTCTCTCTTGCTCCTCGGCGTACTGGACGCGCCGACCGCGCCGCCCAGGGCCCGCCTGGCAGTCGCCGGAGCTGGCATCGCCGCCGCACCCGTACGGGACAGCTCACCTCGGGTGAGGCCAACGAGCTCGAGCTCGTCCAAGCTAAGGCTTACGGCGTACCCCACCGACCTCATAACTTCCTCGCCGCCCCTGACCACCGGCCACAGCCGACCACGGTGACCAAATTAACTCCGGCGATATCCGCCCGTCTCGGCCACCCTCGACTCGCCTATAAAAGGGGCCCCCGAGCACGGCTATCACCACCACTCACCTCCACCGCCACCAAATCCCTCTCCTAGCCACTCACCCGACCGCGGGGAGGTCTTCTTCTCCCTCTCCGGCCACCGCTCCGCCGGCTCTGTCCACGAACTAAACAGCACCATTACTCCACCGAAGCCACCCAAACTCTGCCAGTCCACCTATTTTCCACCACCACGTCGAACCCCTAAGCCAATTCCACCCACAAAGCCCTCTCCGGCGAATCCCAACTCCACCCGAACCACCGTCCGCCGGCGTCGAGCTCACCGCCGTTCAGGTGATCGCCGGTGACCCCCTCCACCCCCCACCGATTCGGGAGTCCACGCTGGTCACGTTGCGACCAGCGCCTGCCTCTGAAACCCCGGCGATCGTCGCCGGCGATCGCCGCATCTTCTCTGTACACGCGTGCGAGCGCGCCCGAATTCAAACCTGACGGGTGGCCCCCACCCGTCAGCTCTCTCTCTCTCTCTTCTATGTTAAGCGAAGGCGTACTCTACGCTTTACGTCTTCCCCACTGGAAGGCGTATTCTCTGCCGAACCGTTTTCTTATTAAACAGCTCAGGGGCTTCTGTTTTGCAAAAAGACCCCTGATTTTTAAAAGCTTAATAACTTTTTAACTATAGCTCCAAATGAATTGATTCTTTTTGCTAAATTTTTCTTTTTCTCTCTAGTTTTTTTAAGATTTATTTAAAAATATTTTGAGAACATTTTTCTTTACTGTAATGGAATTCTTATTTGAATTCAAATTTGAATTTTCAGAAAAAGGAGAAGGATCTTTTGCTGAAAATTTAGAGGGTTTTGCTCCAGACTATTTTGGACAAGGCAAGCATTATTTGAACCTGGGATATGGTGTTTGCATTTGCATGGTTACATAGTTTGGTTTTGCACTGCATATGTTGCTGTGCATATCTTGCATGATATATCACAAGTGCATGCATGGTCATGTCACCTTTTTCCTTTGCTTGCATATCACACTATGTAAAACTAGTGAATTATCAAAAAAAAAATGAAACTAGGAATCAAACCCATGGACCTTGTTTTTGCCATGGAACCCATGGACCTTGAGCCGCCACATGTCCAATGGCCCAATACCAACTGGGCTTGCAATTTGTGATCAGGAGGGAGTGAACTAGAAAGAGTCACACGATTTTTTTAAAATAGTCACGCAATCCACCAGACACCTCAGAGTCGGCGTCTGGTAGGCTGCGTGAGGCCTCGCTCTCCTCCTGGCGTCTGGTGGGATCAAACCTTGCCCAAAAAAAGGTGAGATCGAACCAAAGAG